GTCATCCTTCCTCTCCTCTCTTACTGGCCTTCTGAAAGGCTGGTGCATTCCCTAGGCGCAGGGTAGCTCTTAAGAGTTGGCTGCATTTATTATTAGTTGTTCCTCAGAACATCACCAGTGTATTGTTGCAGTCAGGACAGGGTAGCTCGGCTGGGATGTGGAGTAACACACAAAGCAGCCTGTCCTGCACTGTGCCCTTGCTTGTCCTTTTTGGTCTCCCCTGAGCCCTTGAGGGCTAGGGCACAGGGATGCTCTCTCTGCTCCCTCACTCTTTGGCCTGGCTTTGCTAACACTCCTCTGTGTTAACCAGAGGACAAGACCCTTTTTCCACTTGCCTTACTAGCAAAGGGACAGGGAAGAAAGAGCTGGTGGTTCCCTAAATAGACAGAGAATCTGGTTCCTGCAGGAGCAGCACTCATCCTCTCAGAACTGGTTTTTCTGTGGAATACAAATGGGGACAAGATGGGAATCTTAGTTTTGTGGTTTTGTTTTGTTTCATTTATTTCTTAGAACTTTGCAGAACATGTGTTAGTTACAGTATTCAGAATGCTCAAGTGCTAGCAATGGAAACGTTTACTTTATAGGAAGTATTATAACCTTGAGAAAATTAGCTCAATTTACTGATTTCTATGGTGTAAGTTTAAATTATGGTACTCTCAATAGAAGGAGAATCATTTCCCATGAAATGTTCAGTGTATCGATTTCCAGAGATGTCCTTAAGTTTGCTATTGTTCACTTTCACAGTCTGTAAATATATTAACTAAACTTGTGGGACGGGAAGAGAAGCAGGAAGGTTTGTTGAAAGCTTTTTGGAAGCCATGCCCTGGATTCTAATCATGGAACTCGGCAGCTACTTGACTCGGCAACCAGAAGCCACTAGAGCAGGGTCAGTCCTCTAGAAGTCTACAGTAGGAACCAGTCACAGCTAGGTGCTCTGAGGCTCAGAACAGCCTGAGGGGTGGTGGCCACAGGCTGGCACAGTGAATTCAAGCAGACCTTTGCATATGACCGGAATTAGCCTAGCAACACCTTGACCTCCGGCCCTTAATGCATACAAATGCCAAATAGATGATGCTCTCCGCAGAGTTAGTTGAGAATAGAGCCATGAAAGTGTCTGGCAGTGTGCTGAGCAACCAACAGGCTCCATAAACCATGGTGAGGAAACTCATCAGGCACATCTTAATGCTAAGTGGGAGTTCTTAAAAATGGTGATGCCTCAGACTTTGGCCTGTGTAACCTGAAAACCCCCAGTCACAGCCCTTCCTGGAATCTCCTGGCTTAGAGTTCTCAGTCTGTTTTCAAAAACAAGATCCTTGGAAATGAACCATCTGTTATAGTTTAGATGTTTAACCATTTCATGTGTTAGCCTTAAATTAAGGCCAGAAGTTGAATTTTCTGTATAGTCTTCTTGCCCAGTGTAAGCTAGCACTTGGCTTATTGTGTTTCAGCAAACAATAAAGCAGGAACAGCTGGCGTGAGAGCATCTCTTCAGTGACTGCTTTTGGGGGGGGGTGATCTGTTCTGTACTTGTGTCTCACAGCCTTGTCAGGGAGCATGAATCAAGGTCACATATCATCACTTCTCCTTCTGGATCACACACTTGTAATTTGGTGCTTAGATGTGTTTACATAATTTCAACAGAGCACTCTTCATTCAAATCCATGCTAATACCCCAGAGAAGCAAATGGGGTACTTTCTGTCGTACTCCCTGCTCGGGGTTATTTTTCGGACTACAATTCTGCATGAAGTTAGATAACTTTGAGGACACCATAGTAATCCCCTTCAACTGTCTAAGCAAGACGGGAGTAGGTGTTCTTCCTTGAGCCATGCAATTCCATTGGCTTAGGCCAGAGGGAAGCTACAGTTGCAATGTGGGACCAGTATATTTAAGGCATACTGTGTGGCAAGCACAATCCAGATGTTCACTTTGTACATAGGAAATCATTTCTCACAGCATCCCTTTCACATCAGCTGTCACAGTCCCTGCTTTATAACTAAGGGTATAAGGGCAAATGCCATGGGCTATATAGCAGGACCAGACTTGGACTCAGTTCTGAGTCTAATGCCTGTGACTACCACATCACTGAACAAAATTCCAGCCAAAATCTGTAAGAAGGGGGAACCAAGTGAGGAATGAGGAATCAAATGAAGTAATGTAGAGTGTGGTTTTTCTAAGTAGACAGCTCCCCTTCCTAGATAATCCTATCCCTGCTTTGGCAAAACAGCTACTTAGGATAACGTGAGTGGATAACATGTATGGTTTGGGGTACAGGCCCTGGCAAATGTATCCAAAGTGGGTTTAAAGTGGCCTTCCACGGCCGGGCGTTGGTGGCGCACGCCTTTAATCCCAGCACTCGGGAGGCAGAGGCAGATGGATCTCTGTGAGTTCGAGTCCAGCCTGGTAAACAAGAGCTAGTTCCAGGACAGCCTCCAAAGCCACAGAGAAACCCTGTCTCAAAAAAAAAAAAAAAAAAAAGTGGCCTTCCACTCATCCCTAAAGCAGTGTTGGGAGTGAGCAGACATTGGAGAACTAGATACCCAGCTATTGCACCAAGTACTCATGGTACCTCATGACAGAATTTGGGCTGGTAGGTACAGAGCCAAGATTGCTCCTTTCAGTGTTGACTCATGGGGTCCTTGACCTCAGAGACCACCCATCTAAACCTCACACTATCTGCAAGGGAGAGGGACTTCAGCACTGCACCCAGTATCCCTCCTTAGATGGGGAGGAGAACTCAGATTCCAGAGAAATTTGCCCCCATTGGTCGGACTGTTACACCACTACTCTAAGATTATTAGAAAAAGTAATTCTGGAAATTGGCTGCCGCGTCAATGCCATTTAAGGAGATTACTTGGTACTTTACATATTTCCAGAAAAGTAAAAAAAAAAAAAAAAAATCCATTTTTTGCCAACTTTATTTTTAGAAAAGTATTTTATTCAAACATCCCCTTACTTATTACAGACATAAATACATGCATTCAGACAAATGAATACACGAGAGGACTGTAGAAAGTAATTGGCACATCACTCCAGGATGCTTTGTCAGTTACTGGAAGAATTTGGTGCCTCTAACTTTAATCTTAACCATTAAAATATCCATTCTGCTTCAGATTGTGAAGCCCATAATATTTTAGACTGTCTCCATGGATCTGTTAGTTTTTCTTGTCAATTTAATTTGTGCTCTATGACTCTGGGTGGCTTGCTAGATTGTTCATGGGAACTTGTGATCTACAAAGGATACCAGGCATGGAGTTCTAGCCGCTCCAGAGAGACTGGACATGCAGTGTTTGTGTTTTTACATAGATTGGCAGGTTCCGTTTGTAACCATCCTAATCATTGTGATGGTGAAGGGAATGGCAGCTGCCAAGAGCTGCAGAGATGCGTATTACTGTTGTGATGGTATGCCTGCAGTGTCTGTAGGATGTATGCTTTGCAACTGTTTTCAAACACCATCTCATTTAATTCTCAGAGCTTCCTTGGGCTGGATTATTTCCCTCTTCAGAGCTAATGAAAGCAGATACAGCAAGAACAGTTCAGTTACTTGCCAGAAATCATAGGATAAATTAGATCACCAAAAACTTTTGCCAAGGGCAGACAGATGGCTCAGTAGGTAAGCACTTGTGCAAACACGAGGACCAGAGTTCAGATCCCTAGAACCTACATAAATGCGTAAGTGCTTGATGGGTGTAGAGGCCCATCTCTAATTCCAGTACTCAAGAGGCAGGCAAACTGACCAGCTGGATGGGCAGTGTCTTCAAGCTGTGAGTTCAGCAATAACTAGCTTACTGCCTCAATAAATGATATGGAGAGCATTTTGAGGAGGACACACAACTTCACCCTCACATATTACATATGTAAACACACACACACACACAACACATACATGCTTATGCAAAAAAGAGAGGTTGCCGAATAATTACACCAAATGCATTCAGACAAACCGAGTCATCAAAGCCTAGTTGGGGTGTTGTTTGTGGGGTCTTACCATGTAATTGTCCTTTAATCTGCCCTCTCTTGGGCAGAAGAGCTCTAGAGCTATGGGAGCAGACAGGCTGCAGTGGGAGAACTAAGTCCACTTCACAGCCATTTGCCTGGACTGTTGTAGCAGCCTTACCCCTGACCTTCCACGTACTGTATCCCATGCCCAGGGCACTTAAGTCTCACCTTGGTCATAAGCACATCACTTGCTATCTTACCTTCAAAATGGGGTCTCTTACTATGCTCATTCCCACCTTCTTTTTTCTCTTTGCTTATGATGAACTCCTTAGATGTTACCTTCCCCATTGCATCAGCCTGGCTGCCCTTGAAGAGATTAGTCATTCTTCTGCCCCACCCCCACCCCTGCAGGCTGCTGCTCTTTTCCTAGACCTTTTCCCACTGTTTCTCTTTGTGACTTCTCTAGCAAGGTTCAAAGCCCTAGGTAAGAGACTGGTAGAAGCCTATGTCCTATCTCTTGTATGTGCCACACAAACTCGGAAGTTAAGAGTATGGCTAAGCATGTACATGTGGCATTGAGTGAGCAATTAGTAAGGAAGAATGGGTTTAAAAACAACAGTCTGAGCTAGCAGAAAACATGCTATTCTGGGGTCACATGGAAAGTGTTTCTTTCATTCCACTCAGTGATGAGCTACAGAGATTTATCCCTTCATAGCACGAACTGTTGTGTGAGGTAAGGAGCAGACAGGAAGGTGAGGTGGGCATTTTTTGTGTGGTGCCTAGCACAGAGCAAAGCATATAAGGCTTGAAAAGCAGAGCCAACCTCCTGGCTCTGGCCTCTAACTTCTAAGAAGGTTCTCAGCAAGCTTTAATGGCAAAGACTCTTCCTGTGGCGGGTAGGGGTTGCCCAGAGTTTGAGGAACCTTCTAGGCTTCCAGAGAGAGAGCCAACTGTCCAGGAAGAGCCCCTCTGTCATCAGAAAGGTGGAAGGAGTACATAGAAAGTCTGGGATTCAGGCAGGATCTAAGTCAAGGGTCCCAATTTTCACGTAACTGTCTTCTAGATGATGTCTGTCCTTATGAACACCATTGTCTTTGAAGACTGTCGGAACCAGTGGTCAGTATCCAGGCCTCTCCTGGGGCTCATCCTGCTCAATGAGAAGGTGAGTGTGCTTACAGGAAGGGCCACAGGAGGAGGGAGAGGCTATTAGACACTGAAGACCATGGAATAAAGGGCTGGGGCCTTGGCAACCCAGAAGGCCTTTCCCTAAGGGCTTCAGGTCTTCTTCAGTTAGCAGAAGGCTCACACACAGCACTGCGTGTGTGGATTACTCGGCAATATTTCAGAGTCACTCTCACTTCCTTGCCATTCCAGGGAAATTTTGAGCAACAGCCCTTTTGCCTTCTCTTCCAGCCTCCTTTTATATCTGGGGACCCCAGACAAGACCACAGGAGATGACAGCAGCAGCCCTTGAGGGATTGTGCATAGGGCCAGTGTTCCCTTCATCTGGGGAGCATGCACCCCAGCCTCCTCAGTGTTCTGGTCACCGACTGCCTCCTGAGCACCCTGGCTTCCTTTGGAACTCGCCCTGGCCTCTCAGCAGTCAGTAGGAACAGTGCATTACTGCTTGGGAGAATGAATTGTCTATACAATAAGATAGTACTGGGAAAAGACAGTGAGATTAGAGGCAGCCGCATACATTAAAATTCAAACTAAAATCCCAGCCTTGGAAGGAAACTAATAGAAGAAGAAAATATATCAAAAAGAGAAGAGCTGTCTCATCATTCACCTGTGCTGAAGCATCCAATTTTAGCCACATTCAATAGCACTGTCATTCATCTTCCCTCGGTGTTATTGTGATTTAAATCCAAGCTCTATAAAAGAGAGCAGTTCTTTTAAAATGATTGAGAGGGAATAAGGGCAAATTCGGTGTTTAGAAAAAGCTTATGACATCACAATATTATACTTTACTGATGGAGGCAATATTTCATGGTTTAGGATGAAAAACTAATAATTTTCTATTTGGTGTGAGTCACTGCATCATTATAAAAGGGAAAAATAAGTAGTTTTGTGCATTCCCAATCTTGTTCAGGAAGACATTGTGGTTTAAGTATAATGCCTCTGATATATAGTATTTAAGTATTAGTCTGACTACATATTAATTATGTGTGTTTTTTGATGTGAGCTGTTTTAATGTATGATGGAAATTAAATATCATACAGCTTAGGCTTGAAGAGATAAACATATGACTGGCAAAATGTTGTCTTTTGCTGAAATTCGGCTGTTTCCAGTGATTAGGAAATAGCAGAGCTTATTTTTGTATATAAGACCACAGACCCCAGCAGAAAAAAGGGGGGGCTGAGCAGTTATTTGTGACCAGGTATGACAGATACTGTTCTTAGTGCCAGCAAGTGCTCCCAGAACTAAGCAGGCCCCTCTAGTGCCTACCTCAACAGAGCAGACCCATCATACCCAAAAGAACAAAGTTGGAACACAGCCCAGAGCTCTCTGAGAAGCCATTCACTAAAGCCAGGAAAGATGAGGCCAAAGGGGAGACCCTTGGCCTTGTCTTCAGTCACCCAAAGTGTTCCTTAGGCATTAAATTAAGACCTCCACAGCCTGGATCCCTTCTTCTTTCAGCCTTCCTTTGACAAGTAGAGTTGAGATCCACAGAGGAGGCAAAGACTCCATCAGGCTAAACAGTGACAATGCAGCAATCACAGCAAGAGACTCTTAAGAACAGGGGTAACACTAGGTGCACCTAGGAATGCTTCTGCGGCTTAGGTTTTCTCTAAGGATAGAAAATTGAGTGTGGACCTGGAAGCAAACCCCTGAGCATCAGTGAGCACAAGTAGACCCCAGCCAGCCTGGCCTCTTGCTACTTCCTTCCTGCAAGGTTTGGAGTTGGAACCTGAGCCTGATGCTACTCTGTCTCCCAACAGTATTTCAATGAGCTGAGAGCAAGCCTGATAAACAGCCAGCCTCTCCCCAAGCAAGAAGTGCTTGCCCAGTGCTTCAGGAACTTGATGGAAGGAGTGGAACAGAACCTGTCTGTCAAGAACAGAGACAGGTGAGCATTGCTCAGGGGGGATCTCTAGAGGGCATTCTAGGCTTCCTGAAAATAATGGGACTATTGATGCCACTTTTCTGTTACACCTTCTGATCTTAGACCCAAATCATTTCCAGTCCTTACATTTTACTAAATAAAATAGATGCCAAGATTTAAAAAATGTACCCTTTGCCCTTAAGCAGTTTATAATCCAACAAGAAAGAAGTGAAAAGTAATTAATTGGAAAGAGCAAATGAAGGAGGTTCACATTGTCCATGGAGATGAGGAAAGACTCTGGCCTTTGAATAAGCACAGGCCTCGGGGTGGACAAAACCCAGTTAAATGTTACTCCTGCATCTATAAGCTGTGTGACAGAAAGCAGCAGTTTCTCTGATGAGTCTCTTCTACAGTAAGGAGCCAATGGTGGCATTGGTTGTGGTGTTTAAACACCAGAATGTTCTGGGCAGGGATGGTGCACGCCTTTATTCCCAGCACTCGGGAGGCAGAGGCAGGCAGATCTTCATGAGTTTGAGGCCAGTCTTGTCTACAGAGCAGTGCCAGGACAGTCAGGGGTACACAGAGAAACCCTGTCGGGGGGCTGGGTGGGAGGACGGCGGACAGAATGTAGTAAAACATGGTTGTTAGGCCTGTGTGCTGTTAAGTGTTGGTTTCTTCTTCAGCCTGTCCTTAAGAGTACCTGGTATCATTGGCCAGTGTGATCTAACCAAAGTTATAACTATAAATGAATTCATTCATTCAGTTTGTAAAACTGCAGGCATTTGGAACCTGTGATAAACAAATTGTTCCAAGTTCCTGGCCTCATGGATTTTATGCATCCTAATGGATGAGACGGACTGATAAGGAAGAGAATGTGCTCAGGAAAAAAAACTGCCCCCACTGACCTTTCATCAAACACTCTAGCATTTATAGAACACACCATCAGTCACCCAGTAGGCAGTGCATCCCAGGTATGAGCTGTGGTAATAAGACAAGGTCAGCTGGGGGTGCAGACACCTTCCCTTGGCCATTCATCCAACTCTTAAGTAATCCTCTCACATACAGAAAGGGACAACCTCAGAAGGCGGGCAAGGAGAGGTGGGACATTTAAGTAGCATTCCTGAGCTGTTCTGTGACATCGTACCAGCAGTCCTCTTATTCTCATGAAAGAAGGCAACGAAGACTGGCTGTTGTCCTTGTGCCCTGCTCTGTGCAGAGAAAATGTTTTCAGGCATTATCTCGTTGACTCGTTAGAGTTTGCTCCTGAATTCCTTTAAGACAGTTAGTTACTTATATTAGGTACCAAGACAAGTCATTCAGTCTGCCTAGCTAGTAGTGGTAGAACCAAAATTTGGACCCAGGTGAGCTAATCCAGTACCCCTTTTTACATTTTTTTTAACAGTGTTATATAGCCTAAACTAGTTTCAAACTCACTATGTAGACAAGGACAACTTTTTATTATTACATTTTCTTTTTGTTGGGGGGGGTGACAGCTTGGCAGGAGTTGGTCCTCTCCTTCCACCATGTGGGTCTCAGAGACCTAACTCAGGTCATCAGGCTTGGCAGCACCTGTGCTAAGCTGCTGCACCTTCTCACTGGCCTCCAAGGATAACTTTAAGTTTCTGATCCTCCACTTCCTAAGTGCTGGGATTACAGGCATAGCACACTGTGCCCAGTTTATGTAGGGCTGGGAATCAAACTAAGGGCTTCATGCATAGTACGCAAGTACACACATCCACTGCGCATTTGTACTCTCTCCTAAGATAGGGTTTTACCACATAGTGCCAGCTAGCCTCAACTCAAACTCGTGATCCCTCCGCCTCTGCCTTCTGAGTGCTGCTATTACAGACATAAGCTACCACATTCCACTGCCCCCCATTTTTCATTCACTAAATTCTGTTTTAGTTGAAGATACTAATACCTACCTTTGGGAAGACATGTAATGATTAAAATAGTCATATGTAAGCTCAATCCAGGACTTGAGACATAATGTAAAAATTTTTAATGTTTTAGATAGTAGAACCTCAGATGCCCCCCCCCATCAGAGTAGATTTGATGGTGACTCTTGTTTTCAGTGGGAGGACGGTGCTGGTGGCAGACATGGTAGCACAATGAGTGCCCACTGAGGAGCACTTCCTCGGCTGGGTCCTGAGCTCCATAGTGCCCTCCTCCAGCCTTCAGACAGCCTGCACCTTCATTGCTTCTCTTTCCACAGGTTCACACAGAACCTCTCTGTCTTCAGAAGAGATGTGGCAGAGGCCCTGCGAAGTGATGGCCATGCAGAACTATGCAGCCTGGACATGATGAGCTGACCTGGCTCCTGAACATGTGCTGTGCGGCTTTTGTCAAGCGACTGCAAGGCCTGGGTCCCGGACTGCAATGCTGGCCAGCCCAGAAGAATGTACAAGCAACAAAAGCCCTACATTTTTATAAGTCTGACCTAATTATAAAAATGTATGATAGTGCACATACCATGTAAATTCAGTATTCAAAGCAGAACATGTTTCCAGTCTATCTGGGTTCCCACAATGTTGAAAGGTCTGGAAACTATATTTAACCAAAGAACATAATAAACCAAGCTAGCACCTAGTTTATGGTTCTAAGATCAAGGTTGTCAATTTGAAGATGCAGCCCTCAGTGTGGGTCCTGGGTTGAGACAAGTGCCATTTGAACGTGTTGAATTAGTAGTTCTTACATCTGGAAAATGCCCCAATAAGGACTCTGGGCTGTGGGCATTTAGAAGGAGCCTGGGAACGCTATAAAACCTCCCCCAGGACTGCACAGGGGCCTCTCTGCCTCAGCAACATCTGATAAAGTTGAGAGACAGTAACACAATTAAATGACTTACAAACAATGTTTGCTTTCCACTGGCATAAATCTGAAGTGGCTCAGTCTAGAAGAATTAAGCTGTGTGGTTGCTGCCTGCAGAAAGATGTCTTTAGGACTCTGGAAGCCCCAGTAAGGAGTTCTGGGTGCACCAGCACCTAGTCCTTTTGGTTCCATTTAATTGGAAGAGAGGCTGAAGATGGCATGTAGTATCTGAAGTAGCTCTGCCTTCTTGGACCACCCAGAACAGTTCAGGTACTGACTGTCAGATTCCCAGAGGATGGAGTAGCTGCCTTCCATCTTCCACACTCTTAACCACTGTTGGATTGAGACTTCATCCAAACATAGAAAATGAAGACCTTTACAGTTTGTGACCCATCATAACTAAACTATTAATCTGAAATTGCCACTGTCAAACAGGCTTCCTATCTCAGTGCTCTGTCTGTGTGGTTCAGGCTTACAATAAACACTGTGCCATTATTTCTGATAAGACATGAAAGGTTGGCCTCACTGTTGCAGGGAAGAAATCCACAGGCTCTTGTAATCTCATTTCTCCACTAGTGTTTCTTGAAACCTTTCTTGATAGTTGAGTTTTGCAACAGGCTTGTCATATAAAATTGAGTCACCTAAGTTTATCTCAAAGTGTTTGTCTTCCATGTGCAAAAGAGAGTCAGGGGACATTATGTTCTGGATGAAACTGCTTGTGGTGTTTAATGGCAGATGAGCCTGAACTTAGTCCACCCCAAGCCATTAAGAAACACAACTTCCTAGAGAAGACAAATCCTGTACTTTGAAACATCAGCTTTCAAAGGAGCTCGACAAGACTTTCTCTTTGTTTTTTGTTTGGTTTTTAATTTGTTTGGTTTTGGTTTTTTTGAGATGGAGCCTTGCTATGTAGCCCAGGCTAGCCTGGAACTCATTATGATTCTCCTCCTACAGCCTCCTCAATGGAGGTTGACTGGCATGGGCTACACTGCCTGGCTTCTTGGATTTGGGGTGTTTGGGACGGGGTGGTTATAACTGCACTCATTTCCCAAAATCTGCAAATGTTTATCCCATTCTAGAACTGTTCCTTTGCAAATGCCTAGGGTATAAAAACACCATATTGTTTGCATTAAAATATTGACAAGAAAAAGATAATGTGTGCTCTCTTTCTTTGCCACATAGCCAGCTATCACCTGAGAGTTCAACACAGCAGGTGGAGAGCCTCTTTCTGACTTGGCCTTGGAGAGCTGCTTTTTGAGAAGCAGGGTCTGCCTATGTCCTTGTGCCTCAGTGGGCTTGAATGCTTGACTCAGAGCACTCTGTGGGCAAGCATGGAGTGCCTACCCTTGCCCACACTACCTCCCTTCCCACTGCACATTAGGAAGTAAGGCCCAAAGATGGCTTATAGCTTACAACTCCTGTAGGTAGATTTTCCACTCAGATCTGTCTCAAGAGAACTCCTGGCTGCTCCTAGTGGTAAATGAAAATGTTAATAATATTTAGGTTCATTTCCATCTGTTTCTCAAAACTTGATTATTAAGGGTAAATGACTCCAAAATGTTAATGGCTTCAGGCCTGCCTGGAGATGTCAAGTCAGTGGTGGAGCAGCTGCCTAGTGTTAAAGTAATAGTTATTAGCTCCCGGTCCATGGAAGAAGGGAGAAATCTGGCTGGGTCCCTGATCTAGAGTTTCTCACAGGCTACATACACTCAGGGTGGTTGGCCAGAACTGAGATATTTCACATCCCCAGTGAGGAAGGCCTGCACACAAGCTCACCTATGTGTTTAGCAGGATTGAGGTCTGAGCAGGTTTCACCAAGGAGCCCAGCTCACCACACAGGTCTTAGCTTATGGGAAAGAGCCAGAGACTGCAGAGATCCAAGGACAGTCTTCAGCCGCCCAGCTCTAAAGGGCTTCTTTCATCTGCTTTTGTGAAAACACTAGTCCTGTCACACACACTGGGAAGGAACCCACAATGACGGGCTGAATGAACACGGGAGGCAGGGACTCTTAGAAGCTGTATTAGTCAAAGCTGTCTGCCCAGCCTACCTGGCCTTTGCTAGACATGTTTCTCCCTTAAATTAACAAGTTCTTTAATATTGATTTTCCTGGGAAGTTCCATTGTGATCCCTTCCTCAGAAAGGAAAAGGAATTGGGGAAGCCAGGTGTTTAATGCTTGCCCTCATGGTACCACAGGCATAAACCCAGTTTTGAATTACCAAAGCCTTGAAGGCCAGTGGGGACAAAGACCTGCAGGAGGGGCTCTGGAGCCATTCTATCCCGAGATTAAAACTGGCATGTTAGGACACCCAACAAATTTGCAGAGGGCATATAAAGATAGCCAGTGCAGCTATTCTTGTGACCAAATTGCAGATGTATCTGCCTGCCTTGATTCAGCAATAGGAAAAAATAGCATTGCCAATTCTACAGAGCTCACCACTTGGTTAAGGCATGAGTAGAGTGAGGATGTGGAATGTGTTTGCACACACCACCCTTCTAAAGAGAATCTAGTGTACAAACATACTTGTGCAGTATGGGCTCTTCGTCAAGCCAGCTGTATCAGCAAATCCTCGAGGTATTCTGTAGGAATTCTAACTTCTCAACTTTGGCTTCCCGTATTGACTTTAGAACCTAACTGTGAGAAAGCTGCATTTTGACTAAGATGTGGGTTTTTTTTTTTTTTTTCATTTTTCAATGCTGTACCATCAACATCTAGGGCATACGGTCCCTGTTCTGTGTATAATAATTAGCTCTACACATACCTTGGGATTGTGGTAATGGGGACCCCTTCCAAAATGCAAAGCTGGGCTGGCTTGTAGCAGATAACTGAGATGAGTGACCAAATTATCCAAGTGCCAGTGAAGCTAAGCATCACAATAGGGCAGGCTGGTAAGGGAAACTGAAAAGAGTAAACGATCTGTCATACTACCTTATCCAGATGTAGCCAGTCTGGCACTTAGAAGGAAGCAGCATTTGAGAGCCATGAGCAGGGAGGGAATGGAGCCCTGCATCGAGAAGTAGGACTTGGGGTGTGGCTCTGATGAAGCAGGTACAGGGCCCTGTGTCTCATCCTAACACTAGTTAGCAGGAGCAGAGCGAGAGTGGGAAGGAGCCATTTCGAGAGAATCAGAACCACTGTAGTGTATTGAATTCACCTGCTGGAATGTTAAGTATTGTTTTCCCTGCTTTAGAGATGAGAAAACAAACTGAGGAATAAGAAAAGGCCGTAGAGCTGGGCAATGGTGGCCCATGCCTTTAATCCTGGCACTCAGGAGGCAGAGGCAGGTGGCTCTTTTGAGTTCAAGGTCACCGTGAGTTCCAGGACAGCCAGGGATATATAGTGAAGCCCTGTCTCAAACCCTCCCCCACTTAGTCCAAGAGTTCTCGAAAGAGGTGAAGGGAGAGTGGGCTTCGTAGTCCACACAGTCAAGGCACATCCTAGCTCTGGCCCTCTGCAGCTGCTCATTGTTGGTCAAGGGCCTCTTTTCCCTAAAGCAATTGCCCTTGAAGCCTCACATCCTCAAGCAGAACCCATTGCCTGGGGCCATTTTTTCCCTCTTGTTGGCAGCCTGAGCCAGGAATCAAAGTTAGATTTCCTAACTGTACCTGTATTTTCTTTTTCTACTTAATCTCAAATTGTGTCCTCTGTAGCTGGTACTGAAGAGCAAGAGGTCCAGGGACCCTTTGAGCTCCCCAGTCCATGGGACTGGTACTTCCGTAGAAAAGCCAGTCTAATCAGACACTTTGAGCTGTGTCTGTGAGCTCTGCCATTAATTCATCCTCCTGCTGTACTTCATAAAATCGTTCTTGAGACTTTTTAATGTTTTATTGAGGTGCAAGTTTATGAGGAAGCAAACCTTTCCAACTACAGCAAGAGTAACCTGCCTCCTTGGCATATTAAAAAATAATGTTAGTGTCGGGTTTTACGTCCCACAGTTTGGATTGCTGATAAGAGTGCTTCCCTTGACAAGATTCTTTTTGAGGTTTACAGAAAGCGTAATAAAATATGTAAGTTACATCTCCACAAACAAAAGCTATAACATAAGTTATTTATAAGCGTGAGATACAAACAGTAACACGATAAATAAGCCATAAAGGGTACCTGCAACATCCATCTTAATGTAATTTGCCCAACAAAAGGAGTTGAAACCAAGTCAAATTCAGTTGAGAGAATTTGTCAGGAAGGAAGCAAAGTTGTAGAACACAAAATGGGGGAAATGGCTGATGGGTGAGGGACAGAAGCAGGTGTGAGGTGAGGCTTGGAGGTCCCAGACAAGACCGAAGCATATGCTTGCCCAAAGGGACCGCCCCACCTCTCCCATCCCACACAGCCTGCCATCTGCACTCAGTCGCAGCTGCAACACCCCCCAGCACCTACCAGCCCTTAGGGAAAGGAATACCCTAGTTCCCTTCCCTCCTGCCCTGTGGCCCCGTGCTACTGCCAACTTCCTTCCAGGATTAGCCCATTTAAGGCTATGGTCTGAAACTGACCAAGCATCGGGGGTCCTAGGAGTCCTTCATCTGCTCCAACAGTTCTCAACCTGGGTGTCGTGACACCTTTGGCAAACCTCTATCTCCACAAGTTATTTACATTATGATTCATAATAGTAGCAAAATTACAGTTATGAAGTAGCAATGGAAGTAATTTTAGGGTTGGAGGGTCACTACACCATGAACACTAAAGGGTCACAGCATTAGGAAGGTGGGGAATCACTGATCTACTCCCCTACTCATCCACAAATGAGCCAATGAATGAGACCAAGTCTCTGTCCTCACGGCTGTTTCGGCAGGGCAGAAGCCGCCAAGTGCCAAGAGGACCAGAAACTGGGATAGAGGAGGTCCGGGGCCAAGGGTGCTTCGGAGGATGAGAGAGGTGGAGGTGGCATGTGTTGCAATCACCTGATTTCCTTGAAGCATCAAGCCCCGTGGTGAGGCCTCATGTACATCCACCACCTAGGGCCCCTTTTCCTTCTTCCTGCTGGCAGCCTGAGCCTTTTCAGATCCCCCAGGAACTTTCTTTCCAGAGTCCTTACCACTGTGGGAAACTAGGATAAGGACTCAAATTTCACTGTTCCTACTACTAGATAAAGTAAGTATGAGGGGTTGGATATCTAGGAAATTTGAGTATATGCTCAGTAAATATGTGTTGGCTAACTTGGGGCAGTTGTCATTTTCCATCCTGAAAACTAGAAGACCCCTAAAGCTCCCACACAGGATGTGTAGTAAGCATGTCAGCAACCTGTAACATGCTGTGTATGCCAAAGCTTGTGCTTATGCCATTTATGGAAGTAAACCATATTTCCCTCCATCTTTCAAATAGGATAAATGGCACAAATATACTTAAAGGCATTGATTCAATCCCTACTCCATTTTAAAGACAGGAAAATTGAATCCCAAATCATACAGGAAGTCAGTAGCTAAAGAATCTAAGCTTCTTGCATTCAGACTCATGAACCACTTGGAAATTCCAGTATCCTGCCACTCATTCCTCAAGCTCCCCCCCCATCCTATAGGACTGCCAGCAAGACCACCCTTTCTCTCAGCTTCACTCCTTCATGAAGCCTGGAAGTCTCTAGATTCCCCAAGAATCCTGATCCCAGCTCCCTCGATCTTAGAATCTGCATTTTTCTAACCTCTCTTCAGTGTATGTGCCCTCTCCCCTACTTTGTTGTTGACCTAAAAACAGGTACAAAGGAGCAGCAACTTCAATGTTTCAGGAACACCAAATACATATCAAAACATGCTCAGCCAAACCACCCTTGAAGGAGACTTCATTGCCTTGAGTGTGCTTATTTAAAGGGAGGGTGGGAATCTTGACAAAAAAAAAAAAAAAAAAAAAAAAAAAAAAAAAAAAAAAAACTTTAAGAACAACAAAGAAGAAATGAATTTATAAAAAGTAAAAACAAGACAAAACATTCATGGAAAAGATGGCTCAAAGAAACAAACAGATAACAAGGGGTGGGCATGCAGCTCAATGTAGAAAACACCTTGCTAGCATCACAAAGCCCTGGGTTCAATTCCCAAACCCACATAAAGAAATTAGAGGTTCAAGTTCAAAGTCTTTCTCAGCTACATTGCAGATTGAGACTGGCATGTCTCGAAAACAAACACACAAAACCAGGATAATGAGCCTGGCATAGCAGAACATTACTAC